GAGCCTTGGCCCAAAGACGGCGGAGCGATGGGAGCGGGGCACATGCGCGGAATCCACCAGCGGGCCCCCCCAAGAGGACCACATGCACGCAAGGCAGACAGGCGGGCCATGCCCCAACGGCTCCACGCAAACGCAGGAGATAACCCAAGAGGGCAAGGGCACCATTGAAGGCCCAGGCCCGGCACCAAAAGCAGCGCGCTTGGGGAACTGCACAGCGGCCTGCCCGAGGCTGGAGACGCGCGACGGCGGAGGCCTCGGACCTTGCCTGCATAGAGCCTTCATCTCCTCAATAGGTCCCCCATCATCGTCGTCGTGAATGTTTTGCCGGCTCACTGGTGGTTCGTCGTCTCGTCCCTCCCAGACGTCAGCCCAATATCCAAGTTGTACGTCGCAGATATCTGACGCAAGGCTGGACGGCCCCAAACTTGTATTGACCTGTGAAATATTCCACCCCCGAGGTTTTGACCACCTGTGTACTGGCCCAGGCTGCAGTCTGAAGTGCGCGCGCACCCTAGTCGCGAAATAACGGAAGCGCGCGGCAGCGATTGCTCCCTTCGCTCAGCAAGCCGCCGGAGGCACTCTCCGACAACCCCAAGTAGATGCACAGAATTGGCCCCCGAGTCGGGAAGGATATGTTAGAAGGGGTAGGCGGCCACGTTAGCGGTAGCGGGGGAGAGATGCTCTTCCACATCCGTCTTCCCCTCCCTTCCTGCCTGACAAAGAAGAAGAAGTGGGCCCATGCGCACGTCATGCCGCCGCTGCGCTTTCGGGCAGCAATGTGGACGTCCGGAACCCTCTGCTGCAAAATACGCAGTGTTCGGGACTCGCGTGTCGCTGCAGGCGGATAGCGAGCCAACGCGCCTCCTGCCGTCGCCTTTGCGATATCGCGGGGGTGCCCCCTTGCCAGCGTAGCTGGGGGCATCTTCTGGCTCAACTTGAAACAGTCGCAGCAGCTCCGCTTCTACGCCCGCGCAGAGGCGTAAGCATAGGCCATCCAGTCGCGCAGCATGGTCACATGGATCACATGAGGGCGACCCGCGATCGACCAGGGCCCCCTCCGTCAACAACGAACTGAATCTCCCCATCCTCGTCTCCCACGTTACCCCTGACCCCGCAGTAGGCAGGCACGGCATGGGCTGAAGATCTCTGAACACAGTAAGCTGCTGAACAAGAGCACGAGGGCCCAGAGGAGGCCCCCGCAGCAAAATGATTCCCGGGTGGGAAGTCGGGCGCCCAGCTGGAAGGGGCGAGCGCGCTCGCCAAGCAATCGCTGAGGACCCAGTAGTCCAGGTCGGTCCGTTTTCCTGTCTTGGGGCCACGATATGCGCCGCCAGGCGTGGATACTACGCGGGCGTGCAGACGGACAGGCCATCCGAGGCATCCATGGCCTCTGGGGGGGGGGGGCCAGTGTCCTCCTGCAACGAATGGCAACTGATATCGGGCAAGGCAGGACCCAATGGTCTGCAAGCGCTTTACGTTGTCACCTGACAGTCGCAGCCCCTGCTCCATGTACTCATCAAACGACTGCAGTGGCTGGTCACCACGTGCCGCGCCACTCCCAAAATGAGCTGGACACACCGTCAAGGGCCCCTCAGGCGTGAGAGGCGCATGTCTCCAACAACGCAAGGGAGCAGCACGAGGGCAACCGACGACAGAGATACTCGATCCAGGACTTTGGCGCGGCCTCTGTTGTCGAAGAGAGCGCTCGGCATCACGCGCACGATCAGGCATGCACCCAACACGATACTGTAGCAAAACCACACCTTCATCATGGGGAGTCCGATCCGCACTGCCCACATGCGAATTGGCCATGTCCCTATCCTGCGCACCAAGATTACCCTTTTTTGCGGCGTGGGCGGCGGTGGCACGTCATCCAGAATATCACGAAGCGCGGTTGCCATATCGCTTGGTGCTTCTTAGGCCCGCGTGGCCTCAGAGACCAGGGAGTCAGTAAACGGTTGGTCAGCCATCTCGCTAGCCAGGGGGGGCCTGGCTCCTCGTATGTCAAGATGACGCTCCACCATCAAATCATGTCAACACCGTCGGTCACGTAGATGTAGATCGTCAAATCGCTCCAAATGACGGAATAGCTGAGGCGCATGCTGCGCCTAAGCATCCAGGCAGACCTGCTCTGCCAGGGGGCGTCGCTGAGGTGGTGCGGGGGCCGTGGCGCGCAAGATGTCGTGCTCGGCAATGCATAACTCCACTACGGAATGCACCAAAACAGCCAGTCGTCCTTGGCCATCTGATGCTCCCACGTAAGGACATCAACAAACCAATGACCAACACGAGTCTCCATATGATCAATGAGCTCATACATCTCTCCAGGATTTGAAGCCCCACCCGTGCCAGTAGCACCACCGACCGTAGTCAGTGTAGCTGCAGCGGGCCCACATGTGACAACCCCAGCACTGACTGAGACGCCGTCGGCCACCTGCGAGGGGAAGGTACCACTGTGGTCCACTGCGCACTCGGTATGCAAGCTGCCGACCCCTGGCACAACATGCACACCGACGCGAGACCTACCTGCGGACGCCGCAAAGACCAACCACATCGACATGATCACCGAGACCGAAACCCACAACATGCGGCGAGGGACAGTCTGACAGCCTTGCGTACGCTGCTCGGAAACATCAACCTGCAGCTGTTAAGGATCTCGCCACCATCCTCAACCTCGACTCGCGCCACAGCAACTCCTTCGGAATGATCAACCGGGGCCACGGGCATCGGAACGAGTGGCGTGATCGGCACCGCGCCCGTGACGGCGCCCGTGCGTTCACCGACCAACGCTAGCAGGACAGAGTCGCCCACGTCCACTCACCCGCCGTCCGGGTCCACCCGCCAGCGCCGACCCCAATGCCTGGCGTCGCCCACCCTACGGCGAACCGCCTGGAAGAGGCGACTGCGACGGCCATGTGGAAGCCGCTGGCCGCCGAGCAACCGGCGACACCGCCACCGCCGAGGGCGTCACCGACTATACCTGGCGGCCGACCCCAGGGCAAACAACAACTACAAGGGAGACGTAGACGAGAGGGGAGCAGAGCTAACCGATTCGTCCCCCTGGCAACTGAACATCCAACGTGGAGGGGCAGGAGAGCTCGGGGTCGGTCGGCACACATCTCCACCCTCCCCTACTTCGGCGGACACGTTAGTCGACCCTGGCCTCAGCCTGCACGCCGCCCAGTTTGCTGACAAGGCTACGAAGCCGCAAAGGTCACGCAGGCTGTGGAAGACCCCGGGGACAGCCTCGCTCGCTCCGACGGGAACGCTGCTGCTGGGCAGAATGCCGAGTCTTGATCCACATCACGACTTCAGGCCCCAACATCGACATGTCTGCCATTTGCGCCACCTTGGGTCTTTTCGGCGAATCCCAAATGACCCGATCCTCGAGAACTTCATGCGTCGTGCATTACAGCCTCGAAGAATCCGCCAGGCAGGCCACCCGTCACATCAATGGCCTGCCCCATCGAGCCAGCACGTCCCTCGTTATCCAGCACGTGACCGAAGCACAAGTACCTCCTGGCCTACCAGACCGACATGGCTGCGCCTGCACCAGGCTCACCGTCAGCCGCGCCCTCAACGCCGACGACTAACTACGACTGTACCGACGCTCAAGAAACGGCCTGCTGGCAGGAGGGCAGCCAGACAGGCTGCCGCCGCCGACGCATACGAGAGCGACGGCAACTCTGGTCGTGACGGCGATGGCGAAAACGCCCTACCTGCCACAGTCGGGGGTAGCGCTTCCCCGCCAGCCCTGGCAGACACTCGTCTGAGACCTTGAAGAGCGGTTCACTGAGACAACCGACGAGTGCGAACGATGTATAATCGCCGAGTCCTTCGACATCGTCTGGGCCCTGGGCTCGCAGCGCTACTTCGCGAACCCTCGCCACACATAACCTGCCGGTACGCTGGAGCGTCGGCGGATGGGGACCACCCGTGCTCCAGCGTCGCCAGCACGGCGATGCCGACGGCCAGAACCACGCGATCCGCCGACACTCCTGAACACATCTGACCCCAGCCCCTAGGCCTACCTGCGCGCCTTCACCCACCAGTGCGCAATCGACCACCGGCAAGCCTTCGGCCACCAGTACGCCTTCGGCCACCTGGGCTACGGGCTCCACCAGCACGCCATCGGCCACCGGGGCTAATAGGGGCCACCAGTGCTCCCTCGGCACGGGCGCCTGGCAGCGCGACTTCCCCACTGCCGTCGCCCCCTCGGGGGGCGTGCTGCCGTCCCACAGGGAGAAGGGGTCTGGCGGCCCTCGCGGGACACCCGGCGCGAGCTGGGCCCGTGGTGGCGGCGGCCCAGGGGGAGCGGCGGGGGCACTCAAGGCCTCCGGAGAGGAGAGGGAGGAGCATGAGGAGGAGAAGGAGAAGGAGGCGGAAAAAGAGGAGAGGGAGAGGCCAAAAGGAGAGAAAGAATAGCGAGGAGGAGGAGGAGGAGGAGGAAAGGAAAGGAATAGGAGGCGGAGGGATAGCGACCAGAGGGACGAGAGGGCGAGAAGTGGGAAAGACAAACATGAAGGAGGTGGAGGCGGAAGTGGAGGGAGAGGGAGGAGGGGGCGAAATGAGGAGGAGGAGGAGGAGGATGCAGGGCAAGGAGCACCAAGACGAGTCAAGGACGACAATAGGTCGCCAAATTGCCGCCAGTGGGCAACCCACGCCGCCTCGAGGACGGCCCGGGCAGCCAGAATGCCGCTTGCGGGGCGCTCCGAGAGGCGCTTCAAGTGGCCCAAAGCGAAGCCCTGGGTATCGCATCCGATTCTTCGCCAGCTAGTTCTGCGTCATCCGCCCCAGTGATCTGTGTCCCGACCTCGGCGCTCGGCGATTATGTTCTTCTTGGCAAGCCATCCCTCTCCCGACCTCTCGCCATTCGACAAATAGCCCAGCTATTCAGGAACTCTCGAGCCAACCCGTTCCTCCTGCTCCTCCTCCTGCTGCCCCACCTCCCCATCGCCACCAACACCATCGACACGGCCTGCCCCCCCCTTCCCCGGTACTGAATTGCTTCTTTTCACCCAGCCGCAATTGTTGCAAGTGTTCCGCTCGTCCTGCGCGCTCGGATTGCAGAAGCACAGAGTGTCCCACGGCTGACAGAGTCAGAGGATGGCCCGAAGCACGAGCATCGCAAAGCCGCTGGTTCCTTCCAGAGGTCGAGGGCCGCCCCCCAGAATAAACTCGCCGACCCGCGAAGCCCTTACCAATCGCATCCAGGGGAAGGGATCAAACAGGGCAAGACTGTTCCGTAGACGACCATGGCTGCTCATCAAACGCCGATTCTGGAGGTCGGGGCGTGTGTATCCCTTTCTTGACGTTCATCGCGAAAGAACAGTCATGCTAACGCCTGCCTGGAACGACATGCTAAAGTTAGGGCTGCGGACTGGAATGCGGGCCGCGACGCTGCCTGTCTGCATGTCCTTCCCTCATGGAGTAGATCGAGGATAGCGATCGGTAAAGCAACAGCATCAATGTACGCAGGGCGAGCGTGGCCGTGGCGCAGCAGCAGAAACATGTACGTGGCAAAATGTGCAAGGCAAACATAACAATGGCAATCCGAGGAAGAGCGAACGCGAGTAAGAGCGGAAGAAATGGAGGGAGAGAGATAGGGAGGTAGAGAGGGGGAGGAGAGAGAGAGAGAGAGAAAGAGAGAGAGCACAACAAACATGAGAGAGAGCGGAAGGGAGAAGGGCATCAGCGGCAATCTCAGCAGCACATGCGGAGCAGAATCCTGGCCACGAATCGCGGCAACAACGCCGCCCACGCCCAGCAGAAGAGGAGAGAGGACGAGAGAGAGGGGGAGAGAAAACAGAGCGAGAGAGAGAGAGAGAAAACAAAAACACAAGAGAGAGAGAGGGAGAGAGAAAGAGAGAGAGAGAGAGAGACCGACCAGGACGTCGGCATTGTTCAACGCTTTGCACGGCAGAACTCGTTCAATGCGCCGCACGGCAGAATTAAGTCGCGATGGAGTCGGCACATTCTTCGGACGCCTCAAGGGCGTTTCAACCTTGGACCATCGCAGCGCTCAAATGGCGCAGATCGCTCGCTGTCCGCCGAGTCTGACATTCGCAAGATAACGATCCGACGCTTCGCACCCCCGCACCACCGCCGACATTGTATCCGCGGGGATGCGGGGCCGCGGGCCGCCGCGACACGACGGCTGCTGAGACGAGTGGCGCTGGCCGACTTCGGATCGAGTGGCTTCCAAGTGCCACCGCAGCAAGACCAGCCGTCTGCGCCTCCCGAACACACACACACACACACACACCGCCCGAGCGCACTCGGGCTGTCTCCCATGGGCACGGCAACGGCGGGCCCCAGGATGGCCCTTTCGGCAAGCACGTCCAGTCGTAACATCCATTGCCGTGCCCTGGGCGGCCGGGGGCGCAGGCCGACTCCACGTCCACTGTCCCTTGAGGCGCCACCGCAGCAGCACCAGCCGTCTGCGCGCCCCGAGCAGGCGGCCCGAGCGCACCCAGCGTTGCGCCTCGCCAGCTTCCGTCGTGTTGACGGGTCGGGGTGGCGCAGACCACGGCCGCGAAGAAGTCCTGGCGCCCTGGGGGCGCCCACCTCGGCCCGCAGCTGCTGCGCGCTCGCCCGCAGCAACCCAGACCCCCCCTGGGGAAACCAGAGGGCAACGATACCGTAACTCCCACGGCGCGCTGGGACCAGAATTTCGCGGCGATCCCAGCCGCGGCGGCGAAGGCCTCCCAGGAGGCCCGAAAAGGGCGAACGCGAGGGAAGGGTAGCAGCATCGGCGCACGGCGGGCTCGCCGCGTCGCGCCGACCCCGGCACCGGCTTCTGACGCCGCGCGGGTCGTCCAGCCTCGAACGATCCGCGGTTTTCAGATCGCCAGGTCGTTCCACATTCTGGGCCAGCGCCGTTCAACCTCGAACGCCCGTGGCGGGGTTGCCGTCGCGTCAGCACAACACGAACCTCCCGCGACTGTTCCGGGTGAGCATCGTTTCGCCAATCCCTATGCCCGCTCGCGCGGCCTGGGCCCCACTGGCCGATTTACTCCCCTAGATGGCCATACTGGCATATCCCCGACTGGGGCGGCGGGATTGTAGAATTAGGTCAGGCATGTGCTCCTACAGGCGGGTTTTAGGAAGACCAACAAAACATTGTCTAACAAACCAAAAGAGCACGAAAAAACTTCACTTGTCGATATTCCTCCTGTAGAGGAACATGCCGGATTTGAGTGTAGATCGGGATGGCGACGAGGCTGGAAATAGGGATCGGCTACACGATACGGACCTGGTCCTCCTCTGATCCTCGCCATCGCCACTGCAGTGGCAGCCAGCCTCGCCCTCGCGGCACACGGCTTCTCCGAACGCCGCTGCGAGGCGGCAGAGACAGCGAGAGCGGCAACGGCAACCGCGAGCGCCGCCGGGGTGCGCGGAGCCATCGGTCATGCGGGTGCCGAGCGGGGCGCTCTGCCTGGAAAAGCCGCGGGTAAACGAGGTCGCGTGGACTGCAGTGACGCGTCGAGGCAAAAAATTGCCGAGGAAATGGTGGCGCTGAAACTTGGACTCCCGCTGGAGGCATACCCACTTGGAGACACGCGGCACTGGGCTGAGGTGGGGCCTGGGAAAGTCAAAGGTCAACGAGGAGGAGAACACCGCATCGCATAAGAATTCCAGAGCTCCGCGCAGACTTTTTGGATCGGTGCTGTCCCCCCCCACACACACCAATGGCACAAACTTAAGAAACCCGTGAAGATGTCGGACATATTATGGTGATGCAGTTGTTGTTCCTTGGATGGGATACGAAGTCGCTCGAGCTAACGTGGTGCCGTTCGACCTTGGACGCCGAACAGCACTGCGAACAGCATGGAGCGCTTGCGTTCGGGAGCGCCTGCCTTCAAGCCTTCGTGCCTTCGAAAAGGTATGCCTTCCCCAAACATGGTGTTGCCCTCAGTGAGCAAAAAAAACCTCTGGTGAGCTCATGGCGGGGGTCAGCCCTGAGCGATCGGGGCTGTCCCGAACAGCGTTTTATCGTTCGATGTCGGCCGATTCCAGGCCACTGGGCACGAGGGCCAGAAGCAGGGGGCTTAGCGCATCATGGCCCGAGGCATCTGCGCGAACAAGGGGGGGCGGAGGGGACGCACGGAAGGAAGGTAAGGAGGGGGCCGTGAAACATGGGAGATATCATGGCGCTGGCCATGACTGATAGAGAGCCCGCAGAAATAAATAGCGCCCGCAGCGGGGCGGCAGCAGAGCCTGGAAATCATAGGACGAACCATTAGCGTGGCGTCTTGCTCCTCTCAGACACTGGCCCTGGACGCCATAGAGACCTCCCGAGTGGGGTGAGAAAAACCGCTGCATCGCCGACGCATCGCCGACGTCGGCGATACCTCGGCGACGCCAGCGCAGAGAAGATCGGGCCCCACATCGAGCCGCACCGCCGATGCATCGGAGATGCGGCGCGATTCTCCGACTTGATCCTCTCGGACCCCATCCCTGGGCGGGGAGGAGGCCGCCAGCGCCGAGGGGACGACCGGCCTCGCCCCGCTCGCCGCGCGAGAGCCCCAACCCCCCCGGCCCCCCAGCGGTGATGACCTGCGCGCGGCGCCCGTTTTCGAATGACGCGCGCAGGTCATCACCGCTGGGGGTCTGGGGGGCTGGGGTCGTCCATGGGAGGGCGCCAGGGGCAGCTCCCTCTGCCCAGCGATTGTAATTCCTTCATTTTCGACCATGAAAAACGTATTGAATCCCGTGCCCAGCCAGTACTGCCATGGCGACCGAAGGGGCTACCACTCCAATCCTCCTCGGCGCGCCTGGCGGGCTCTAGCCTGACCGTCGCCCGCCCCCCGACGTAATGCATCTATGTCCACCGCCCTGGGAGTCGTGCCCCCGGACTTTGAAGAAGACCTCACCGAGGTGTGGTGGACTGAGTGGACGCCCTGGGGGCGGCAGAGCATCACATCCACTGGCCCCCAGGAATCCTCAGGAACATCCAACCCTGTCCGAAGTGAAAGCGGACGTGATCTCAAAGTCTTGGCTGCAGTCCACGCAAGTGGCACTATTTCTGAAAGGAAAGTAGTAGAAGGTGGAGCACAGCAAAAGCAATCCTTATTGGGCTCGTCGCACTTCGGGCAAGTCCACTTTCCTGCTGCTTTGGGCGGATTCGCCTGCATGACAAAGCAAGGCGAAAACAAATAAACATTACCACGCATGGCGAGCGGCAGGGCTGGCCAGGGTAAGGCACAGCCCAGCCCCGTCAAATCACACCTCGGGTACGCCATGGCATTCTACATAGAAATGCGTTTACAATATGTATGTGGATGTATGTATATATGTATATAATGTACGTGGTGACCCCAGCCGTTGTGACCCACATGGCGCCTTGTTCGAGTTCTCTATAGGTGCTACTTTTCCCGCCTCTCTCTCTCTCTCCCTCTCTGTCTTTCTCTATCTCTCCCTCTCTCTCTCTCTTTCTCTCTGCGTGTCGCTATATGTCTCTCTCTCTCTCTCGCTAACTCTCGTTCTCTCTCTCTCTCTCTCTTTATTTCTCATTCGCTCTGTCTGTCTCTGTTTTCTCTCTCTCTCTCTCCGTCTCTCTCTCTCTCTCTTTATATCTCTCTCCCTCTCGTTCTCTCTGCGATATGTCTGTGCATGTGTTTCTTTCTCTATCTCTCTCTCTCGCTCTCTCTCTCTCTCTCTCTCTCTCCGGGACGCGACAAAGACACCGCCTCCCCCTGACGATCGCCCACGCCCAGAAGCCGAGTTTCGTCCTGGGTCCAGAGGGTGACCTCGCACCCCAATATGCGCCCACCCCTGGCACAACCACAATCCCCATAGCCAAGGCCGAGCCCCGCACCACCGCCGCTGTGGCCTATACACACGCGCCAGGTCCATTCGGACCTGCGGCGTCTACCCAAGGTGACCCCACGGCGGAGCACGTGCCCACGCGAGGCACTGACTGCCGCGCTAACCTAGCCACCCACTTCGCAAAAACCATTGGCAGTAGACGACCGCGCCACGCCCCCATGTCGGGCCAAGGACAGGCCGCGGAGCTACAAGCGTCTACGACCGCCTTCGCCACAAATTCTCCAACCTCACCCACCAGGCCTACACCCCCACTTCTCAACAAGGCCTGCTCGTGCAGCACCTCCATCGCGCCCGCGATGCATGGCCACGCGTCGGAGACGGGCGACGCCCCGTTCCCGCAAGCCGCATAGCGGCCGAGCCCTTGCCCCCTGGCCGCCAACTGGGGCTTTGCGGACCCGGGCCCTTCCACCGCGGGGCGCCGAAAGACGCGGCGCATCGCCAGCCCAGCACCCCGCCTGCTACTTCAGTCGTTTTGCGCAGGGGGGCGGTTGTTTCAACGCCCACCGCAGTCCCTTTCTCATTTTTTTCCCAACCATCCTGTGGTGTTGGGTCCTCGTTTTGAAGAGACGGTCCCCGCGCTCTCCTTCTCTCCTCCTCTTCCCCCTCCTCCTCCACCGTCCGCATGCGTCCCGCACACCCAGTACAGCGTTTCGTGGCCCTCCTGCCCCTCCTCCCTGCGTTTCACCCACCCGGTACAGCGTTTCGTGGCCCCATAGGGAGCCCCACCGAAGGTCCCAGTGCTACCGTCCACATGCGCCCCGCACACCCAGTACAGCGCTTCGTGGCCCCATAGGGAGCCCCACCGAAGGTCCCAGTGCTGCCGCCCGCATGCGTCCCGCACACCCAGTACAGCGTTCCGTGGCCCTCCTGCCCCTCCTCCCTGCGTTTCACCCACCCAGTACATTCGTGGCCCCATAGGGAGCTCCACCGAAGGCCCCAGTGCCCCCGTCCGCATGCGCCCCAGAAGCCCAATTTGGCATTTTCACTCACTCGGTAGAGCCCGTCATGACCCCAAAAGAGGCTCCACCCACGGCCCCAGTGCCACCGTCCGCATGCGTCCGGGAAGTGCAATTTGGCATTTTCACCCGCGCAGTGCAGCGTTTCGTGGCCCCATAGGGGGCCCCACCGAAGCCCCAAGTGGGACCGTCCGCATGCGTCCCGGTAGCCCAATTTGGCATTTTCACTCGCTGGTTAGAGCGCTTCGTGGCCCCATAAGGGACTCCACCGTAGCCTCAATTGGACCGTTCGCATGCGTCCCGGGACTCCAATTCGGCACACCACCCACACAGTACAGCGCTCCCCCCCGCCCCGCCCAGTGCAGCGCTTCGTGGCCCCATAGGGAGCTTCACCGAAACAGATATTCACAATTACGGTACCCACAACTGCATATGTCTGGGGCCCTCGCCAGGATAATTGTTGTTGTTGTGTGTTCTCTCTCTCTCTCTCTCTCTCTCTCTCTCTCTTTGTCGCGCATATATATATATATATATATATACATATATATATATATATATATATATATGTGTGTGTGTGTTTGTACGGTTGTTGTTGATGTGGATTGCTTCTCTGTTTCTCTCTCTCTCTCTCTCTCTATGATGTTGTTTTGTTTTCTATCTCTCTCTCAATATATATATGTATATGTATATATATGCATATTTCTCTCTCTTTCTCTCATGTGTTATCTCTCTATCACGTTATATACATAGATGTGTATGTCCCCATATGTCTCTCTCGCTCTCTCACGCAATGTGTTTGTTATCTCTCTCTCTCTGTCTCTCTCTCTCTCTCTCTCTCTCTCTCTATATATATCTCTCTCTCTCTCTCTCCTTCTGTCTCCCCATAGTCGTCTCACCATCTCTCTCTCTCTCTCTCTCTCTTCCTCTCCCTACCTCTGTCTCTTTTGTCGTGTATGTTTGTTGTTTAGATATTATATCGCTCGTAACCAGCACGCCCCACCTTCACTACCACAAGCATGCGGCAACTGTAGCACAGCAAGAGATAGAGAGACAAAAGTCGCAAGAGGGCGGCGTGTCAGTCCGAAGACCGACCGCGGTGCAGCAAGCTGCACAGCATCCCGACGCCAAACTTTGCGGCTCCACGGCGGACAGTGTCAGAAGAGAGCCCTGGACCTATCGACGAGTGCCTGTGCAGCCCTGCGGGCAGTGTAGAAGTGCTGTTCAGGCTGCATTGTGGTGCAGTCTACGGGGAGCGGGGGCTGGGCGCGGAGGGTGTTGTACATATGGAAAGCCAGCACCAGCCGCTCCACATCCTCGGGAAACGCCCCCCCCCCCCCCCCCCCCAAAGACCGACACGCGTCGCAGGGTTGCTATGGATCGGGATCGATGGGGGGGGGTAAACAGCACTCCAGAAACCAGGGCACCGTACATAATGGGAAAACTAGTCGAGAGCGCGCGGTGGGAGCCGACGACAATCACATCTGAACAGACAACGCCTGGGGCCACCCTGGGTGTGTAGCCTGCTACTCGAGAGCCACCCCCCGCACATTGTTTTAATCACAGCGGCTTGCCAGCTAGGGGGCGCCCCCGAGGCTAACAGATCTCGCAGGGCACACCATTCGGCTCGACCGACAAGGGGCAACTTCCAGGCCCGACAACGACGGGCGAGGCGGAGGTGGAGCGAGTCAGGGTAGAGGGAAAGGCGAGGGGGGGAGGTGAGGACACGCTGCGTTTTCACTCGCCTCGGATGCTCCGAGGTGCTTGCTTCCGCGCGCGCCGTGCCAAGGGCAGCGCGGGCGGCGCGCGCGGCGATCTGTCCACGGCGCCGCCGTCGTCGAAGCAGTTCTTCGCGTTCTGGAGCCGCACGACGACCGGGGGCGTCTGCCAAAACCACGGGCTCCTCCAGCGCAGCCCGATCTCGGCGAGCGTGCCGTTGTCCCAGCACTGCGCAGCCAGGAAGACCACCAGCTGCTGCTAATTGGTGATCGCGCCCTCCGCCGCGCGCATCACCGTGGCCGCGGAGTAGACGCTGATCGAGTGCATGTGGAGCGTTGACCACGATGACAGACCGAGCATGTCGGCCTTCGCGAGACTCTGAGGTGGCAGGTGCTAAATCTTCAGCATTGCCCAACCCTCACGACACCTGATCGCCTTCGGGATGGGGAACAGCTGTGCGAGGTATCCGAGGGTGGGCAGGACACGCGCGTTGTACAAGTGCGTGGATAAATGGACAGGGCATTCAGCAGCGGCCAGCTCCAGCACACGAAAGAGCCACTTGCCACCAGCAGCCTTCCAAATGTCATTCAGGGCGACGGCTGGGCCAAGAAGAGCGCCGAGGTATTCAGCTCTATCGGCCACCGTCATGTTGCGCCACGGTGGGATGTAGTCGCTAGCCAGGCCTTCATCTCGCATTCGGCGTCGGTGCTGAACGGGACCCCGAGCGGCACCAGGACGCATTTCGGCAGCTTGAGGACCAGGCCAGCGAGCGATTCCGCAGCACGGAAGACACGCCAGAAACAACCGAGCATGCGCCTGTCGTGGGCCACCGCACCGACGTCACCAGCGCACACGCCCAGGGCACAGAGCTCAGAGATACCGACGATGAGCTCGAGGTGGGCCACGAACGGGTTCACGCCGATGGCCCACAACGGCCCAGAAAGAGGACAGACCTGGGCAATGCCCGAGGCCGCAGCGAGAAAGAACTGCAGGATGCCAGCCTCAAGGAGGTACGCTGCCGGAAAGAAGTAGAAGCCGAGCACTAAGTCCAGCAAGGCTCCCTACGCGCCAGCACGGCGCAGTGTGAGCTCGAGCCAGTCGTGAACCAGCGATGGGAACGCGTCGCCGAAGTCCAACATTGCGAAGTAAGGTTGCCTAATCTCACAATGGTCTTGAAATCCCGCAGCACGGCCGACGGCGCCGAGCAGGGCAATATTATTTAGAAAGTTTCTGCCCATGAGAAATCCACGCTGGGAAGCTGGCCTCTTGGCAGCGAGCTGACGCTTGATCGAGTGGTTCACTGCGGCCGCCACGATTTTGTTATCAACATTTTTCAACGCGAGAGCTCTAGTGCGGGCCGCTTCACGGAACGCACCTGCGTGCAAGTCACAATCTTCCTTACCCTTGGGCAAAAACACCATTAGGTGATCTTCCAGTCATATGGGGGAGGGTGCCCCATGGAAATGACACGAGCTACATCAGCGACGTCTCGGAGTGCACGGGGTGACTTCGCCCACGCCGCGCACGGTATGCCATCGGGTCCAGCCGCAGAGACACGAGCGGCACCAGCAGCGCGGGCGAGTTGACGATCATCAGGAATCGATACGTTGCTGAAACCCATGAGAACA